TGCTCCATAAGAGGTTTCCATCAAGGACCTGAAGAAGATTGTACATACCTGTAAGACTTGTCAACCCTTTGTACAGGTACCGCCTCTGCAACAGCCAGGGGTAAACCCTAGGGGACTCAAGCCCAATTCCTTATGGAAAACAGATGTCACATACTGTGCTCCTTTTGGAAAGCTTGAGTATATTTTTGTGTCCATTGACACATTCTCACATGCCTGTTGGGCTACTGCTCATACAGGAGAGAAGTTTAAATGTGCTCAGTCTCATTTTCTCCAGTGCTTTGCTATGTTGGGATTGCCCTAAATTAAAACTGATAATGGACCATGTTTGTGAGTAAAAATTTACAAGATTTCTTTTCACTTTGGGGCATTTAACACAATATAGGAATTCCCTACAATCCCCAAGTCAAGCCATTATAGAACGCAACCATCAAAACCTAAAAATTCAATTGCATAAACAAAAAGGGGGAATAAGCCCCCACCAACAGTTGGGTATGGCCTTATTCACTATTAATGTTCTTAATTTTCAAAAAAATCAGTTGGAATCCCAGTTTCAGAAGCATTGGGGACAACAGGAGCAGAGACCTGAGGTATGGGTAAGATGGAAGTACCCCATTATGGGGCAATGGAGAGGCCCAGATCCACTGTTAACCATGGGTCAAGGCTTTGGGTGTGTCTACCCTACAGGAGATTCAAACACCATATGGGTGCCTGTGAAAAACCTTAAGTGGGTAGGCCAGGATCCAACTGACTAGCACGACGGTCCATGGACAATAGTTCATGAGAAAAAATTCCTCTTTATTTGTATCCATCTGAGGTAAAGGACTCAGTTCCTTGGCTTCATTGCCAGTCAGCCTCTACAACTGGCTGATTGGCAAAAAGGTACATGGTCCCAGAAGTATTTCAACTTGTCCTACGCCATGACTTACCTTGTTTCTCTTGATAATGCTTATCTTTAAGTGTCTTTACCAGATAATTCAGTGACAAAGGACTCTTGGAACTGCCAAGGCCCATGGCCTCATGATTAAAGACTTCCCCAGGACCCGCTCTGGTTGCCTGCGCTTGGCTAACCGAGTTAGGCAGAGACTAAGACTGTCACGGGCTGGCATTACCCA